AAAGTAGTGAATTGCGTGGCTTCGTGCCTGAGGTGTGATGATTGAATCACGCTGCGGCGGGATGCTTTTTGACACACACACACACACCTGGGATTGCACCAATAAAAAACGCATCAACGTTCGTTCAGTGGTGACCCAGCTTTTTCTAATGCAAGATGCACTTGACCACCGCTTTTAGTCTTTTCCAGGTGACAATGGTTCTGCCTGGAGTAAAGCAGCGTTAAAGACAAGGACAAGTACAGAAGCTCAGGGTGCAACGCGAGGATTGCGGCTGAAAAGACAATACCAACAGCTGCAACGTCGAAGAAGCTGAGGAAGCGGCCACCACAAGAGGCCACAACATCAACCGCAAGAGATGCAAATATCCCAAGAAAGAACAACGTTAGTTAGTTGCGATGATGCTGCCAGATACATGTTTGTGGTGAGTTGTAGACCATGTGCATTCATTATGGGAAACTTCACCCACGAGGTAAAACGTGGCCTAAGTCCAAAGGCCTGGTTAAACCAGGCTGGTGAGAGTGCCGGTTGAGCTGGCATGAAAACCCACTGGGAAATATATCTTGGTGGTCTTTTGCCTACCCTGTGTATCTCTACGTTTTTCTCTTCTCTTCGCACCACGCGTTTGCCGTCACCAGGAGGTTGTGCCGATTCATCCCAGTGTCCTCGTGGCCAACCGTTCCCGCTTCCTGGCGGATCTCTTTGGTCCCGACTTCGCCGACGGCTCCCGCGGAGAGAAGGGCGCCAGCGCTAGCGCGGTGCCGGTGTCGCCGCCGTGCCCCGAGCTGTTTCTGCGGGCGCTGCATTCGATCACCACCCGAGCTAGACCGGAAGTCTTGGAGGACAAAACACCGGTGAGACGAGAGGGAAGGGCTGGAACTGGGGATCTGTTGCTCTTGGTTTTGAATCAATTGTGAACAATACGTGAACATGTGGACTTCTGCGTTGATTTGACCTCGGGGAACCCAAGTTTGTCCCTGCTTCAGGGGGAGTTCGTGGGTTTCGTCAAGACTTCGGCCTTTTTGCAAAGCGACGAACTCGATGAGCGGCTGTGCGAAGCGGGCTTATCCTCCTGGAGGAGAGCGTTTCTGCGGCTCACTGCGGCAGGTATGCCACGGCCCGGGTGAGAAAATGTTCATGCTCCCCAAAATGAGAACGACAACTGGGAGTGTGGCGGAAGGCATCCAAAACCAAAGTTGGGAACCCAAAAACGATTCCCGGCCTTTCTGTGAGAGGAAGAATCTTCAAACATGGTCTATACTATAAGTAGTATTCTTCAATGTTGTTAAATCACTGCTTCCCCAGCTACTACCAAGGCTGTGTCCTCAAGTGACTTCTCCACACTGGCAACTTTCGGATTTGTGCTGCTGCGCCCCTCAAACCAAGACCGTGCCGCACTTCTTAGGCGCCCTACGTGTCCCACCCACCCACCCCACCCACCCAGCCAACCAGCCAACCACCCAGCGTCGGCGCTTTCCGACCTCCTCGGAACGAAGTCCGTCGAATCCTTGTCCCTCCTCAGAGGCTCCTGTAAAAGAGCATTCTTCCGGCGCCGTCCTCGGCGGTCCGCGACCTTCCTGCCGACCGCAGGACCTTGACGAAGCTGCCAGAGTTCCGAAATCCTTGCGCCTCGTCGGTTCCCTTTTTTTTTTTCGGGACGGTCGCCCACTTTGGATGCCGCGTGGTGACGACGTGGAGGAGAAGTGGATCGGAGCGTGATTTCTGGATTGGTTTGGAGACGTTTTGGAGGGTCGCGTGTGGAACCATGGGTTTGGAGATGTTTTTTTTCTTTTAGAACTGACTGAATCTCCAAAAGGTAATTCAATGGGGCAGGGTCAGTGAGTTTATTGTTAATTAGTTACTTATCATTAATTATCATTTATATAACTTATTAACGTAACATTATGCTTTACACACTTTAATTATGCGGAGACGGACATTTTTCTGACAAGCTGACAGGCATCCTGAAATCTGCAAGGGTAATCCCTGAAATACCCGTGCTTGGTGGGGCATGGGCTGATCGCCCCCTCAAAAGCTGTGGGGACATGACTTCAGGGTTAAAACACGTTGAAACTAAAAACTGACGACACTCCCAAACACAAACATGGAAGCGGAAGATGACCCCTTGAAAGACTACCTTCCTCCGACTTGACCAAACCATGATGGTTGGAATGTCCTGCCCACGGGTCACGGAGGCCGATGGGGGCCAGGCCGATTGGCGTTTGCCGCCCCTGAGGTGTCCCCGCGCCCTTTTTGGAGCGCTTCCTGTTGATGGCGCGGGAACACGAGGTCATGTCCGTCTCAGATGCCTTAGAGGTACTGGCGCTGTGGTGCAAAGAGCACATTGATGGAGGTGATTCAGTTCTTGAGAAGCTGATTAAGATCTCAGACATGGAGCCTTGGATGTTCGAAGTTGGATGTCCAAGGGGCTTGGTCTACGCTGAAGAACACATTAGACATGTGGTTTCTCTGTGAACCTCTCTGAAACGTCCAGCGCGGCCAGAGGGCCAGAGGGTCAAAGCCATTTCTTTTCTGCAACAGTTCTCCGATGTAATGAGGCTCAGTTGGGAACGGACATGGGCAGACTCGTCCATCCCCGGCATCTTTCCGTCCTCCATGTCCGAACAGGAGCAGCTCATTTGATCCAACCCGAACAGGACCCAGCGCTGAACCTGCTCGGGATTCCGGCTGCAAGAGCCCTCCACCAAGACCCTGAAAGACAGCGGAGCGTTGAACCTTCTCCAGATGTCTTCGAACACTCGACGACACGGCCAACACGTCCCGTTCTAAGATCAACAAAGTACCGAGTACGGGAGAAAACCTTCACTCGACGAGGTTTTAAGGATCCCTTTTTCATCCGAGATGGCCCCCATCTCTTTCACCAGCCGCCCATCGGCCACGCGAGAGGCCAGCCCGTTTCATCCCGCTCTTTCCGCCCACAAGAAGACCCCCCCCCCCTCCGCGTCCTCCCACCCGGTCGCAAACCTCGTCCGGGACCCACCTCGCTGGAACCGGGTCGGCGCCACCTTCCGCCTTCAACACCGGGAGCTGACGCCGCGGAGCGCTTCACCGAGGAAGCCTCGGAGCTGCGGAAGTTGCAGCAGACGAATTCGCGCTTCGTGGAGTTGTTGAGCTCCACACAGGTCTATCAGATCATGGGCAGCTCCACACGAGTCGGGAGGGAGGGAGGGAGGGAGCACGAAGATGGGAGGTGGACCCCGACCGATGAGGCCACCAAAGAATTTTCCCGGCAACCAAGAGCGGCAAGCATGATCTCACTGGAGGCAGACTTAGGTTTTGTATTCTTTTTCACACCAGGAGGGAGGGCCATCTGAGATGGGCACCCATCCCAAAGTGTCAAAACCCGAAGAAGAGGTGATTGGCTGGCGCGTCCATTGAACCCCCCAGCCCGACAGTGGGTCATGGTATCGAGTTGAGGAGGAGTTATATGGACGGAGTTTTTTTTTGAAGATGCAAGTGGATTCTGAGTGAATGAGGGACACTATGTAGCTAGAGGATGGAGGTTAGATGACGTCCATGTGACCATGGGGAGTTCAGGACTTAAGATGATTTTGGGGCGGACCTTAAGTTGCTTTGGACATGGGAGTGATTTGTAGAGATTCTGGTGCATGTTCGAGTTTTCAACTTACGCCTTTTTTTTTTAGATGCTTCACATTCGTAGCAACTGGATGTCAATGATATCTGGATTGCGGTCTGTTCATATCAATTCCACGTGGGTCCTCGCGGATTTATGTTGCTCACTACTCTTTGCATAATGATATAGGTCTCACTAGGTGGCATTTTTTCGGGTCGTTTTCCTATAGTACCAATGGATTTGGCGCAGCAAATGCGGCGCCATGTCTTTGAGCCACACCCATTCAAAGTGAAAGGGGACACAGTGATTGAACCCGTTTCTTTTTTTTGTGCACGGCAAGGTCTTTCCAGCGAGAAGAAGGGCTACACCCCTTCAAGAGGACTCAACAGGCTCAAATCCAGAGGACTAAGTTAGACTGTTGATTCATAAGACCCTGCATTCTTGCGTATGGACGGGGGATTTGATGAATGAGCTGTTGACATTCTTCTTGGCACCGTTTCGTGCATCGCTGGAGGCTTTCTGACGGGTCGACAGCCACTGGCCGGCCATGTTCGACCCAATGGCCAGTTCTTGTCCTACCCACTGCAAAACCCCTTTTGGGGTCATTGGGCGGTTTTGCCACACTCAACAAGAACCGGTGGACTGCTCTTCTCTGTTCTTCCCGAGGCAAAGCTGCCTTCTTGTGATCCAAGATGCAGATCTGAACTTCGCGAGGATGTGAGGGAATTGGCCAAAACAGGAATTATGTGGAGTACGTGAGGGACCAAAGAGGGAGAGAGAGAGAGAGCGACACGATCGTGTACACTTTATAATATTTTTGTTTTACACAACAGGTAACTTTTCTAACAATTCTCTCTGCTGTAGAGTTCTTGTTTGTAAAAGGATCGCCGGTCTTGGCCAAATCCCACCTGACAGTCCATGCGGGGCGACACGCACGCCGGTGACACCGATGCTTGGCGCTTCCGCCGGCCATGCGCCGGAAAAGGGTGTCCGTCCTGGCGACGTTTGGTGCCTTGAAAAAGGGGTCACAAAGGCCTTCCGCGTCTTTTGGGGTGACATGTCGTGAGAACTGTTTGGAAGGTCCTCACGACTACTGGCCGATCCACAGACTCACCCACCGGCCCCCCAAAGGGACAGAGATGATAGAGGCCATTGGTATCAACTTCTTGAGCAGGTCTCGCACCTGGAATGTCCATGGTAGCTGCCTTTTCGGATGCCTCCTTCATGGGTCGAAACTCTTGATTCAGAAAGACACCGAGACATTGCTCTTCTTTTAAACTCCACTTCTTATAGGATTTGTATGTCCCTAACCTGCGTGTTGTTTCTCATGGCCCTCACCTGGGCCCTCTTCCCCTATATGACTCTTCCTCTTGGGTGCTTGTTTCCTTCTATATACTTTTCCGTGCAGGTTTGGAGTTGTACAGCGCCCGCGAGAGCAGTCGACCAGGCACATCGCAGGTGGGAAGCGAGAGCGGCGTGCGAGTGTCGGCGGGAGGACATGCTGGAGAGTGGGTGGTGCAGGTCTTCGAATGATTTTGGGAGGTTCTTCCAGGTTCCTCACGGTGTGAAAGCCCAGCACCGATGGACCTTCATGTGTTCCTCGTTTGTCATTTGGATTCATTTGGTAAAAGAGGACACTAAGTGGCACTTCTAACGCTCGGACCGCGCAGTTCCAAGCTTTCTTCATCCAACGGACCGCGGGTGTGGTCCGACCGCCTCCACTCCAAGTTCGATTGGTCATTCTTGAGCCGGCGTGTTCTCCCAACAAACTCAGCAGTCCCTTTCCCTTGGACTAGGAGCAATACTAGGAGCAAAGGGCATCGCTACGAACGGAGCAAGGACGCTACGAACGGGGCTCCTGGTCGTCCTACTAGGAGTAAGAAGCTACTAGGTCCTGGCGTGTCCTGAGATCCGCCACTGCACGGCTTGCCGTCCGCCCTCGGGCGACGTCTCCAGGGAAACGCTCCAGCCAGACCGAACGGCCCCATGTCCTCACGTTGGGCGGCCCAGCGGGCGACTGCGCGAGCCGGCACTGCGCCAAACACAGAGGAGTTCCCAGTAGAGGCCATGGCTGAGACCGAACCATCCATCGCCGAGACCATCGTTCCGTCGTCCAGGACGTCGTGTAGCACGGTCGGAGTCGGCGACGGTGAAACGCGGAGCCGCGGAGCCCTGGTGGAGCGGTTTTTCAAACACAACTTCAGGTGCTCAATATGTCAATGAGGCCAGGAGGAGGCAGGGGTCGCGGTCACCGTGGGATGGCACGGGCGTCTCGTCTCGCCGCTTTTGCGTCAGAGCTAAGGTGTGGGATTCATCGGATACCTGTCGTGTCATATACCTCTCATGGCAAAGATGGATGCACATACATACGTAAGACATCGTAATACATATATGCATGTAACATGTATTATAATCGATAATCATGTATAATATTATATATATATATACATACGTAATGCCTTTGTGTATGCTTCTTAATCCTTTTACCGACCATCATCATCATCCAGTGTCTCTGGGACTGGGGAAGATACGGCAAAAGAATGAGCAATGCGTGTTCAAAAAAGTCCTGAAACGTGTCTTGAACTCCCCCACCAAAAAGATCCACACTTTATTCACCAAGTCCCCGGTTGCTTGAAATGAACCAAGGCGACAGGATGATGCAACCAAACGCGCCATGGAGAAACGCCATGTTATACTCGTCCTTTGGACACCACCTGTTCTTTGTTTTGCGAATCAGGTGATTTCCTATTTTCCCGGTTCCTGGGTCAATCCCCTAACCTGGTGAGTTTGTTCTTCCTTTTTGCCGGTTCCTGGCAACTCCCTGCATGGAAAACTCAACCCCGGTGAACTCCAACCGCCCACCGCCGCCGCACCGCACTGCCTGGCGCGGTGCCAGGCAGTACACCGGCACTCCAGAGGTGCCCTGAAGGGCGTGCGAGGTCGACCTGCGAGGTCTGAGGTGGCACAGAGGTGAAGAGCTAGAGGACTTCTACTAGCACCCGACTTCACAGAGACCTGTTGGAAGGTGCTTCTAGAGTTGGACGTCCAATTCTCCAACACTTCCCTTGCCAAGCATCTCCAAGCATGGAAACACACTCTCGTCTTCCCTTTGCGTGCGGGCGGGCGGGCCCGGTTCCCGCGATTGGTGCGGAAATCCATCCAACTGGGCTGGACGATCTCAACAGAGCACTTCACATTTCCCAAGACCACCCAGAATCATCCTTGGGTCACCCTTCATCTCACCAAATGAGGTTTGCACTGTCAGCGCATAATTGGTTTTGTGTTCGTTCCACCCATCACAGACTCGAAGTTGTGGCTCCCAAACCTGTCTGTTGCGCCAAAACGTTTTCATGGGAGGTGGCAGCTCCATCCTTAGCTCCAGTGAGCGCGCGGGGGGCCAACAGCAGCCGGGGACTCGACACCGTCAGCCTCCAGATATGAGATGTGATGAGATACCAGGACCCTCCAAGGGGTGTCCAATGGACTACTCCACACTACCTATAGGCTTCCAGACAGGGCACCCCTTAGAGGGTGCTGGTATGGGTTCCTTTCTTCTGTTTTACTTGCCAGAATTTTATTTCGAACCCATCATCTCACACTTTTGATAGAACATGACCATGTTGCATGTTACAACATGTTGCAACACAGGGTTCATTCAGGTTTTGGGTAGGCATATTTACAGAAAATGACTACAGAAAATAGACTGAAACTTGTTGCGGGCACGATTCCCCGAGCCCAGTTTGCCTGGCCTATTTGTTGGGAACCGGTTGATGGGACGAATAATTAGCTCCACATTAGTTCCACTATTTTCCATCTGGGTCATTCTGCTGCAACCATACCAAAGTTTGCCAACACCTCTTATACTTCATTAGACTTCTTTCAGTTTGTGGCATGTCCTGTACGCCCGCGTGCTTGATCCCAGTGAGGAAACTCCTCTTCCCCCATGTCCGGACGGCTCAGTCCGTGACTAGCTGTTTTGCAACATGGATAGATCAACAACGCCCCGGAGTTGTTTCTCGGCCTAGGACCTTATAACATTATTACCCTCATGGACGGTTCATCAACTCGAACTTGTCAGAACCCAGTGGCTAAACCTGTGGAGTTGTCCCCCAAAGAAGAACTGTAGGGGTTCTTACTCTGCTCCAGGGCGGGCTTCAGCAATGTCCACTGTCAAGGTGCTGGGCCACAGCTTAACCCCGACCTTTTGTACATGTGTCCCTTCGGGATCTGGTCATTTGAGGTCCCTCACCTGAGGAGACCTGGCCAAAAAAATACAGAGTATATGAGTGTACACGAACTGCCCGCCGGCCCGGAAACTGAAGTCGTATTCTATCATTTTCCAAATTCACAGTTGTGAGAAACGTTGTTTACTGCAGCTTTTGACATGTAGGGCCAGCAACTGGAAGGCTGAATTCCCAAGCCCGGATTTTTTCACCAATTAGGGCACGCTTCAAGTCCTGAAGTTCTTTCGGTGCCGGTTGGGCCACGTGATGATAAGGACTTCGATGAGGATCGAATCTTTTGCAACGGCACCCGGGGTTGGCCTCGTTCGGCCTCCGCGAACGCCTCGCGCTGCCCAGGCGGCCGGGGTGGCTTCCCCAGACCCGCCGAGGGCGCGGCCGCCACCGCCGCGTCGGTGGCGGCGGACCTCTTCGGCGGCCAGGCAACGGGACTGTGGGAGGGGGAGAAGAGGTGGGTTGTGGTAGTTGGGTGTTGGAAGTTGTTTGTGGGCGTGAACCGAAAGGGGAGACTGAGCTGATCATCAGGTGGCGTTTTCAGATTTCCAGCAGTTGCTGCGAAGCGCCAGGCTTGGGCCACCGTGACGTCTGCCACAGCAGCCACGTTTGCAGCTCAGCGGGGGCTCGAAGTCATGGGAGAGAACGGATGGCTGTGACGGAGAAGCGGGTGGAAATGGTCAAATCAATCTGCATTGGAACATCTGGAGGATTCATTCGATTTTCTTGTCGAGTTTGTGATATCAAGATCAAAAAGGCCAGTTGCTATACATTTTGACCCACGCCCCCGTGTAGCTTTGCTTCAGCTTTTTGTTTCGTAGGCTGGCTTGGCCTTTGTTGTCAGATATTGCAAGAACCAACTGACTGAAGACTGCTTGTCCATGCAGGACGGATGCACTTCACAGTGAACGCGGAGGCGCCCTCTCCAGGTCATCGTTTTATTGGTCATCTAGTTGGTGCTTTGAAATTGTACGACCCAATGACCCCCCCAGCTAAACCAAAAGTGCTTAGCTGGCCCGGGTACTTTTTCGGGTTGTTACGGCTTAGCTGGCCCCCCAAAGGTTCTTTTGTTCTTCCCCAATTGTTCGGACATGCCTGACCTCACCCTCCGTCTTAAACATCCACATCGTTGACGCAACGGACCGCCCTCACATCGCATCTGACACCCAGCCGGACCATCCGCCGGCTTCCGCTCGCAGCCGGACCAGTGAGAAGCACCCAGATGAAGACCGTCCAAGAAGCCTCGGTTGCTTCTTCGTGACCCAGCCCCCAGCCGAGCCCTTCTTCGGTCACAAACACACCTCAAAAATCCAAAAACAACAATCCCCTACCGTAAGAACCCCTCAGTGTGCCCACACTGTTTTCACTGGCTGGACCCTCGGTCGTTCGGTCACGAACTGAAGAAGCTGGAAGAGAGGAATTGAGATATCTATATCAATATCATTATATATTATTGAGATGCATGTGGGTAATGCCTCGGCATGTGCATGTGAACAGCGACGGTTCCGTCGCGATGTGGTGGCGCAAAGGAAGATCTTTGGACACGAGGCCGCTGGTCTTGAGCCGCGATTTCGCGGCCCAACAAAGGCGAACAAGATGAGGTTGAAGAACCCCACCCCCAGGACCACCAATCACGGACCATCGGTACTTTTTGGGGTGCCCTGATCAGCTGGACCTGTTCTCTGCGATGGTGCCCTGACCGATTCTGGATGCCCCCCATGCCCCTCGCCGGTCGCCGGTCGCTGGTCCGTTCCGTTCGGTCCACGACGCCAGGCGGCGCCAAGGATCGAGACGAATCGATGCGCACGTGTCGGGACGCTCGGGAACGGGGGGTCGAGGGCGGGCCGGGAAACCAGGGATTGGGTGAAACCGGGGCGCGCGATGGGAGGAGGGTGTTGTGGCAAATCCTCTTCACCTGCCTCTTCTGCTTTCTGACAAGTTACGATTATAAAATTATACAAATTAATTTATATTGCGTTATATGTAATATATATAATATACATTATAATGTTATCATATGAGAAAAAGCACGTCTTCTTTTTTCTGGTGCTCTGGGGCCGTTTGGAAACTCTCCAATTCGGTCCTGGTGATCCTGTTTGTGCCCAGATGCGCCCAGCACACATCTATAAGTCATAATGACTATCGCTACTAGGGTGGAGGCCATCGCTACTAGGGTGGAACTGGTGTCACTGAAGTTCCACGCAATTTTCTGGGGCCACATTTTTGATCACCCCGAAGTAAGCCACCCCGAAGTAAGCGCGCGTTGTCGCGCGCGGCGCAACCTCTCCGAGGTCGAGGGGCGTTCAATGTTGCCTGCACCTCGTCCAAAGCTCCGAGGCAAATCATGCAGGACATGAAAGCCCTGCGAGTCAAAGACTGTCAAGAGAATGGTCTGAGACCTGTTTCAGCGAGCTTCCTTTACCTCAGCTGGTCCAAATACAGTCCAGCTTGACTTTTGGGGAGTTTGTGGCCTTTTCTTTTTGAAACCGACGTGGTTTTCGGACCCTCGGTGTCGGGATCCATGCAGAGAGAGAAGCGGTTCTTTTTGTGCCATCAAAAGAACCTTGGAGGTCAGAGGCGTTGGATCATTTTGAGGCAGTCTTTCTGGGTCAGTCGACCTTCGCAGGAGATTCACAAGGCGCTCACGGTCCAGAGAGTGGCCTTCAAACAGGCGCCCACGGTGCCTTCGCGTGAGTTCACCACGTTCTCACCGGCGGGGGGCCGTGAGATCCATGAGCCGCTCGAGCGAGAGAGGGATCCACAGGCTTCTAAGGAAGGCCAGGCACAGCCGCATGGGGGCTCCAGAGGGCCTCCCGGGCAGCCGCTTGATCTGCCATGTGGTTTGATCATGAGCCGCTTCCATTCACACCACCTTGATCTCCAACCAACTCGCGGCCGGCAGTTGAACTTGACTCTTCTGTCCACCAACTCACAAGAGTTGAACATCTATTTCTGAGAATTTTCCCGTTGAAGCCCTGGGCCAGTCTGAAAAACCCACCTGTGTCACTTGCCACAACAAGTGAGTCCGGGGTAATGAAGATAACTCAAACTTGATTCAGTATCCCATAGACACTTGAACGTGCAGATGCTACCACACACTGAAATGAGCCGCCACAAACCAAGAGTTTCTTCAAGAACAAAGGGACAGGCACAAGTCTTCCAGGCCATTTTCATTACTGTAAGCCATTTTCAGGGTCACTTTGTTGCACCTGGACCTGGCCCTTCTTGAATGCGGACGACGCGTGCATGCGTCACATCTGCGTGGTGGCCGTACGCGAAGGCCAACGCATTTCTTGTTCGCTGCCAGAAGCAAAGCTGGGCGCCCCTGAGGTTTTGCGCAGTGCTTTGTAGTCCCAGGTCCAACAGGGGGCAAGCTGTGGTGTTTGTGGAACACGGACAGCGACAGGCTGAGGACACCGAGGACCGCTGAGTCGAGTCCCTTCTTGACAACAGTTGGATATTAGAGAGCCTTGGTTTTTTCCAAGAGGACCTGGCCAGGTCGGCAGGAAGACTGAGCACTCTAAAGCCAGTAGAGGGTCTCCAAAGAGCATGGTCTTACAGTAATGGATGGAGCACCGGACCACTGACATCAACAACACAAAGATGGACCTACATCGATCTGCCACCTTTACGCCCTTGTTACTAGTAGCTTCTTGTTCCTAGTAGTACAGCCAGGAGCCCCTAGTAGCGTCCTTGCTCCTAGTAGCGATGCCAGGAGCCCCTAGTAGCGAACATTGTTACTATGGCCTTCTTATTGCTCAGGTCTTACTTGTTGCAGTGCAGTAGGACGAGCGCGCGACAGAAACTGGTCGAGGCTGCCACCGCCCGGAGTGCAATCCTGAGGTCTTCGCTTTGAAATGGAGATCTCTCACCTCGATCATTTGGAATCGTTGGGACCCCCGGTCCGGGATGAGTCTTTTCTGAGTGTTTCTGAGGTCTCAATTTGCATTCCATTCCAGTTGTATCGACTCATGTACCGAAAATATTCGTGGATTTGTCTCAGGGTTGGACAAATACATACAACTATAGTGGATTTACTGGATTTCAAGGCAATAGATATTGGTTGGTTAAATACATACATACTCCCCCAGCTCCGGCTGAAAAGTGGATTTCAAGACTCAGCCGGACCGCACACCGCACAACTCAGCCGGGACCGTCTGGGACGCTCTGGGACGTCTCGGCTGCCCGGAACGTCTGACCCTGGAGACCAATCCGACGATCAGTGTCTTCAGATCAATGAATACAAAAAAAACAAACGATCGTGTCAATGATGTGTCAATATATATATATATATGTATATATAGTCTAGTCTAATTTCAGTATGATACCAATCAAGTGTACCAGACGTCGGACAATCAAGTATACCAATCACTTCATACCCAGTCACTTATCAAGTGTACCAGAATTCCCGACGTCGGACGTCCGAACGACGGGCCTGGAATCCCATGCACGTATGACCGAGGATTCTTCGAGCTAGGGAGATGGCGAGGGGAGGCAGGTAGGTGAGCTGAGCCTAGGAGAGCTGTTCTTATACCCTACACCTCCTATCAGGTCCTATCAGGTCCTTAGACCCTCGCACCCCAGTCCTCAGTCCTCTCAGGTACTTGGAGGTCTAGGGATAGTGAGCCCCCCCCAAGGAGGTGAAGGCGGATGGGCTTGGGATCGGGTCTGAGGATTCATGTGGTACGCTTCCGACGCGCTGCTGGGGAGCCGGGGTGCCGAGCTGGTGGCGCCACGAGCGCTTGAAAGCGCCTGACAGCTTTCAGGTTTTGGATGCTTTGGGTTCATTTGGTGGAGGGTGGACAACTTGGACATGCACAAGATGCATCATTATACATCATCATTATTATAGGTCATGTTCAGATTGCTTGGCAGGATCCCATGTGAGTTCCCGTTTCACATTCATCTACGCCTGGATCACAGGGTTGCAGCAGCTTTTGAACGACCTTGAAAGACCACCCAAGTGTTTGCGGCGCCAAGGCGCCAAGGGTACCGGCTTTCCTCGTTTGAGAGACTTTGGACACTTAGACTAGATGCATGTCAGTGCCGCTTGATCTCTTGAATCTCTTGACGGGTCACCTCTGATGCCCCCCCAAACCCCCCCCAGAACCAGCTGCACGCCAGAAATGGATTTGGGAGCGGACGGCCAGACGTTCCAAGGCAAACGGTCTACAAGGAGCTTTGCTCCAAAGTCCTTGCAGAAATGAAGCTTTAAGAGTCCGGCATTCTCTCTTTTCAGAGGAAGAAACACCAGCTGCTGCACCACCAGGCCCGAGGTACACCCGGACACCTGGTTTGAAGGCCATCCCGGATCAAACATCTACCTGGACCTTCAAGGGGTGTCCAATGGACAGCATATTTTGGAACTGCACACAGATTGAGTGACTGTCATTCATTCTATCATCCTTAGATCCTTAGCCTAGCTAATCACATATCTGAAAAGCAAAGCAACAGAGAAACACATGCACCAAAACACAAAGGCACACATCCAGCTTGACCAGTGCCTACAGAACTAAGGACCCACAAAATTCCGGAAGAAGACACAACGACCGCCAGCTTGGATTCACCAACAAAACATGTGTCGTGCACTTGCAGCACCCGCAGTGAAAAGTCTTCCTTCGACGAGCGACGGTTTCCAAGAAAACATGGGACGTCCAACTGCAGGCATTCACCTGGTTCATATATGTTCATATCAGGTCTTGTGGAAGATGTGGAAGCGACCTTTTCTTTTTGGGATTTACCTACAAGTGGTGATTTTGGAGGGTTCGGGACTTTTCTAGACATACCGACCCCCTTCTGGTACATCTAGACAGGTCCATTGAAATTCTTGGGGAACTTTGAGCTCCGGAGATTCCAAAAGCTACAAACACCCCATCGCTCCAAATATTGCCTCAGAGACAAACAACGAAGTGCTCCTGGCACCCCACGCTGGAACTCCTGAACCAGAGCTGTTTCAGGAGCTATTCGGTTTCCGCGGCGGTTTCGTTTTCTATGCTGGAAAGTGCATTTTCCAGACTTACCCAGATTCGGGACGCATTTAATTCAACACCTCGTTTCACCGCAAGTTAGTTGCAGAGACGACGTGGTCCATTCTCATCACATATACTTCGCGCACCGCGAAGTCCAGGAATTCTGGAATCTCAGACTTTTCTGGGCGATGAAGGGGAGGTTGGGAGTCAGGCAGAAGTCTTTTCTTTCACGATGAGGTCTTTTCTTTCGCAACTGGGACTCTTGCCACCAGGGTCTTAGACCAGCAAATCCCCACGAGGACGGGCCAAGTCGTTGACCGCTTTTCACCGCGGACCGCCCGCGTGTCGTCGATTTCACCGAGTTTCACGGTGCTAATGCCGCGGTCTGTGGAGTCTGTGGCCTGTGTCGCGGTGGCCGCGCCGGCTCAGTCAGCTTTCGGTCAGTAACCGGTCAGTGCGGTGATGTAATTAGAGAGGGTTGATCACATGAGGAGTTCTATTCAACATTTCTACAGATTTCTACAGTTACTGTATACATCTCCATTGCGGGCTGCTGTAAGAAACAACATCTTCATACCTGGAGTCCCGCCTCCCGGGTCTTTCCACAGCGGACCCAGCTTTCTTTCTGTTGGAGGCCCTTTCAGAAGGTGTTGCTCGGGTGGAGCTGCAACGATGTTGAAGTAGAGCACAAATGAAAAGACTCCCGAACCATTACTCTCTTTGGAAAGTAAGTGGCCCTGGAATATGGAGTTGAGCCATCTCCTGAGCCTTCCTGACAACCGGCGTTGCGCCATCTACTCCCCACATGGATATCAGCCTGTAGACTTCTTATCCTGTAATCAATTGTAGTCTCCGGACAACGACCGTGCTTTGGATAGCTTCGGATGTGTTCGACGTCGCACCCGGTGCTAGTCATGACTGATCCGAGCGCCTGTCATAGCGATGCCATCGCCGACACGAGACTCTCGTGTCTCGGCTGTGAAAGCGATGCAGTCGACTTCGGATGTCCAACTCGGATGCCTCGAAGAAGGGCGCGAACTTCTGGTCGGTCGCACCGTCGTACGTCTCGCCGATTTCGCGTGGGTTCGATGTGGCGCGTGATCATCGCTGCTTGGGGGTCGTTCTCGGCACCTGGGCGGTCCACCCGGGAATTCGTGGTTCTTGGGGGAACACCACGAGAGGTGGACGCTACGAACGGGAGCGATCGGACGCTACTGACCAACGACCGGTCCACCGTGCCCTGAAAGTTCGTCCAAAACGGGTGAAACTGGTGCAACCCCACAGGGGTCCACGACGTCGGCATCGTGTCCACCTGGAAGAAACAGGCGATGTCTCGAAACCGTTCTCTAAGATACACCAGAATTGGATTGCTGATCAGATACCAGATGACACCAATCTTGAAAGCCTTTTGCTGCGTGCTGCCACGTTCAGACCTTTTCAGACAGATCTATCAATCATTGATACCATTTAGCCAGTAATTGAGCCATATATTGGTCACAATATATTAGTCCATAGTGATGCTTTTCTCACTCTTTCGAAGTCAAGCCGAGTCAAGCCGACCAACACATCAACTTCACAACCTTTGCGGAGCGGAAATACGAAATTCCTCGAGCGGTCGGCGTTTCCAAAGGTTTCCTCCTCTTTCTTCGACACACAGAACTTCTCCGAAACTCGCACTGAACTCCACCTTAGCAGGCTTAGCAGGCTTGGTTTAAGCCACGACCTCACGCACCTGCACATGGAGCTTGGAGCTTGCTGACCGGGTGCGCTGCGTGCTGCAAGATGCAGCCTGCCCCACAGAGTGCCAATGGCATTCAGTATGGTCCACAGGAGTTTGAGTTCTACCAGCAACTCTTCGTCATTGCCAATCCTGATGGCAGGCGCTATCTCAACCTTGCTGAGGGGTTCAAACATGGAGACCAACGAACATGGTGGTTTCAAGGAGGAAATCCATTCGACCCCAAAAAAGGACGCCGCTTTGCGAAGCGGCCTTGGCCGGAGGTGGTCACTTCCACGGAAGGTTACGTTTGAAGATTTGTGGCGTCATACTGTTGATGGACAAAATCCTGCATCCCTCTTTAACATTGAGTTGAGGAAATGCGTCAAACAAAAAAAAAAGATAACAATTGAGCGGCCAAAATCCTGCATCACACATAACAAACATGAGACAACATTGAGTTGAGGGGCACGGGGGTCTGTACTATTGGAGGACCGCATGTGTTGCTTTATTGATGCAGGATTTCGTGCATCACCGTGGCAGCTCAGTACATTTGCCTCACCAGAGGTCCTGAACATCAACCCTGGTTCGTACAGTCTACCCTCTCAACGAACATGGAAGTGGACAAGCCCCCTTTTTGTAGAGCAAAGGGCAATTTTCCACTTCCATCGTTTGGAGGGAGGGGACTTTGATTAAAGATCATAAACACCTCACACACCTCCACACAACTCTTTGCACAGTCCTCCAGGTACCCTTGTTCCTGATAGTTTTGAAGAGATCTTGGAACTCTTTGGGAGTCCAAGACTGTTGCTTGTTGCCTTATTTTTCCCACACCAACCCACAACATGTATTTCCAGCATCGCCAGCCCTGTGATTCCACGCTCTGTCCAGGGAGGCGCTGGATCCGCACGTGGCCGCCAACTTTCTGGCAGCGAGCCAGCTTCCCCAGGAGATCCTGCACCAAGTGTGGCACTTTGCTACGTCGCTTCAATCCTACACACAGGCCAGTGCACGCTCGCGCGCGCGCGCGCGTGTCCGGAGACTGAGGAGATGGAAGCCAAGCGGGTTGCAAGACTTACTCAGGTTCTTTCGAGTTCCTTTGTTTGTTTTCTTTCTTTCAACGGTGGTCGTCCATAGGGTCCAGAAAGGGAGGTTGCAAGGTACACCACGGAACACCCACCCAATTTGACCTCGCCCTTTTCTTTCTTAACAAACAAATTAATGACAGCGGCTTGAAAGCGGCCGAGATTTTTCAGGACTACCTCATGGCCGAAGGCTTTTGGTTGGCCTGTCGCTTGGTGGCTTGGGCCCAGAATGGCGGCCTGCCCTTGGATGTGGTCCATGCGCACCAGGAGCCGCCCTTGTTGCCGGAGTTCCCTGGCCTTCAGCGGCCCCCCTCGTCCTTGGGCTCGCGAGCACATAGTATCCATGGAAGCGACTTGCCCGTGGACCCGCGAAGGGGTTGTGGTGGAACAGCTCGTTATTGATTCTTCCTTCATGTGTGTTTGCTTTGACCAATGGGGAGCTGGAAAAAGAGGACAAGTACAAGATTGGACAAGATTGGACTCTCTCTCGCCCTCTTCTGGTCCGTTCCCTCTTCTAAACCCAACATGAACCAATGGAGCTCTTTCGAAGCGATGTTCTCTGCGTTCTCTGCGGTCTCTGAGGCGAGCACTCGGAGATGCAACCGGTGATCCGCTTGCAACACGCCGCTGCCGTGGCGGCCGCCGAAGTGGCGGAGGGGCGAGGAAGATCGATGTCGCCGCGAAGGGTCTTCACACCTGAGAGGCCTGTGCTGTGGGTATTGCGTGCTTTTTTTGTTTAGTTTAATACTCCCTAGGGCTCCAAGTACCTCCTCACAAGGTATCTGAACCCTGTGAACCCACTGTAGCACTGTCCTTTTTTGTCGGAGCAAACACACATTTCTTTTAGGTCAAGTGGTCAAGAAGGGCGAGTTACCCCCTCCCTCTTCTCAGGCAAGACACGGTCAACATGTTCAAACCTTGGTGGTTGTTTCTGTTGTGATTCTCCCTCCGATCCATACCGGCTCCACCAAAACCGCCAAAACTGCTTAAACCGCCAAAACCGCTTCAGCTTCGGCCTGAAAGAGACACCGGCTGCCACCCTCAGGTTACACCTCGAAATCGAGGGTTGCTGGGCAACAGGTCTCAATCGGTGACCTGTGAAGCTCGAGTGCTGGGACATGTTCTTCTTCGTTTCGAGGGCGGTCGTTGGAAGTCGATTCTGCGGCAGGGCTCAATCCTCGCAGGTGGGCGCCCTCGCGGCGGGAGCGGCGCAAGTACGCGGGGCTCTTCCAGCGCTCGGACTGGGATCACGATGGCTTCGTCCAGGCGGGCGAGGCCAAAGCGCTGATGGAACGCTCAGGGCTCGAGGACGGGAGGGGGGCGAGGAGGTGTGATCTTGGGGGTTCCGATTGAATGACTCTTGAGTTGTCAATGTTACAACCCAGATGCTTTTAGAAACATCAAACGTCTACATTCTGGAAGGGAGCCCCAAGCAGATGGAGGTACTGTGGTCTTCGGCCTACAGAACGGAACAACTTTCGTTCCGGGCCCCCCAACTTCGCCTCGGTCTGTGTTGGCGTTTTTGATTCGATCCATAGAGCTTTCCAATCAAGTACACTGGAATACACTCCCCCCTGATCCCCCCTAAGCTTGCGCCAGACCTAGGGCCTCCTAGGGGGGTAGACCGGTAGCAAGGGGTATCCCCCAAGGAAGCAGTTTAATGCTGGGAAGGTGTTCGGATGATGATTTTCTGTCAGTTGACGGAGTGGATGCTCACTTCTTTTGAGAGCGGGTGAGGTCTCGGCTTTTGACCTACATATAACACATTATAACACATCATACAACTATTCAGACCGGGTCAGATTGCGGGTGACTGCGAGTTCGACACTTCTAGATCTTCACAAACACCTTTTTTCTCACCTCCCAAAAGATCTAAAACACATTCAAACACATAAATGACACGTGTTGTTGGACACCAAGCCCCTATCCCTCACTGACGCCCGCTCAACACGGTCTGGCCTCCACAAAATCCGGCTTTTCCTGGTTGTTTTTCCTTTCCACCAGGTGTTGGGGCCGTTCTTCCCCCATGCCAACGGGTCCTTCCTCAGGAGGGGATCTTGCGGCAGATTTGGGACCTCGCCGATGCCAGGTGCCTTCGCGAAACTTGCGAAGCGCTTGTGGGTGGACATACGGAATGTGCTGATCTTTTGGCAGGGGGACGATAGACTCACGAGAAGAATGTGTGTTTATGTGAGAGAAAGGACTAGTGGGAGCAGCAACTTGATCTCGTCATCCCATTTGCTGCACAGCTGTCAGTGATGAAAGAGATATCGACAAGCAGGGTGGTGGTTTCAGATATAATATATAATATATAATAATATATAATATATAATATATAATATATATGTCGTTTTCAACCTTTACTTGCGATGATTGAGTTGAATCCCCAACCAGCAGCGGGCCAGCGGCGACGCCCTTTGCGTGAGCATTGCGGAGTCAGCCGACAGGTCGACGGTCAACCGATCGATCGTGGGACGCGGTCAACCGATCAAACACAGCGGTTCTGTCGCCATGATCATTGAATCACAGGGTCACGCGGCGGTTCTGTTAAAGCAACCTCTTTTTGGAGCGATTTCATCCCTCCAAGACCATCCAATACCTGTGAGAAAGGTCGTCCAAAGACTGGAACAGCGGAAAGAATCCTGACACGTCCAGGACACAAGATGGCCAGCTGGATTTCGCGGAGTTCGTGTGCATGGTGCACCTCATCACTTGTGTCCTGCGTGGCTGTGGGCCCTTGGGGCCTCAACTGGCACCCCAACTGCAGCAGGCCTTAGCGACCTTGGAGCCGCTGGAGCAACTGGCCCAGGAACGCGAGCAGAGCCGCAGCCGCAGCGCGTCGCCCGCACCCGCGGAGCTGGTTCAGAGTGACATGTGGGGAGATGGAGACTTGCCTGAAACAGTTGTGGTTTGGAACACTTTGGTCATTTGCTTTTTGGACAAATCGGATGGATGGTGCTTGATATCCTCCATGTCCATGTCCATATCATGATGGTATAAATCACCAAACAGTCGCGCGCTGATGCAAACCAATTCAGGTTTTGCTTCAAGTGCATACACCCATGAGTTGATGGTTGTGATTGAATAGCCACGAAGGGTCAGCAGAGATATGCACAGGCACAGAAGATTGGTTTCAGGCAGAACATGAGGTGATCACTGAAAAGTCTTGCGGAACATATTGCCTTTGATGCATGTTTGCATATCTTTGCCTGCTTAGATGACATATTTTCTTGACTGAACCCATGGAAGTTGGCCATTGCGGTCCACCAATGAAGTTCGGACTCTCATGAACCAACGTGAGGACTTTAAACGTGTGACAGTACTATGCTGGCAGTATCTGGCAGTACACTCCCTAATCATGGCTATGTGGAGTGAACACCATTTGTTTGGTCTTCGGATTACATGGTCGTCCGAGTCGAAATCGGGGCTGACAAGCGCCATCCACGGATTCCGGCTGAAGAGGATCGACATGGGGAAACGAACGAGCCAGTGGACCACCCAAATAGGAGGCGTGGAGATTTCAGCTGGCAGTACAGCTGGCAGACATGATTTTCACAGATTGTACCTCATAGTTCTGTCCTACTATTTCAACAAAAACACGATGTGGTCCTGCTCAGAGAAGAACTATGCCCGACTCCTCGGTCGACCGCTTTAGCTGGGTCGACTTCACCAGTCGGTCCTCTCTTCGCCACGCCCCCTGGAGTCGGTCGCCGCACTCTTGTTGCTCTAGGGAACTCGAGAGGGAGATCGCCCTCTCCACGAAGGGTTTGGACACCTGAGAGGCGAAGAGAGGATGTTCTGCTGGGGGATCCGGTCGACCGCAGGGGCGGAATTGGTGCTCGAACAGTGCCGTGCCTTTACAGTATTCAGATGTATACAGTATACAGTATATATATACACGGTATATCTAGAATATCTAGATTCTGATGTGTAAGTACATATTTACAGATTTGCACGTATATATGCTCACCCTGCAATGATCTGCCTTTTCCTGCTTTTCAGCTCTTTATGCTCTTTTATGTCATTGACCATTGACTTTACTCTTTCTTCCACCATACCTCATGCTGTGAGATTGTTTTCACAGTCTGCATGTTTGCAGCTTTCTTGAGGTAACAACGCCATTACGGATTCGTGCAGTTATGTTAGTCTCGACCTGCGACCTGTGCACCGACTCACAGAGTTTGCAGTTTTGTTGGCAAGTATCTTTGCCGGTCGCTCATGTGGTTCTTCCGGTGAAAGAGAGGTTGCAAAGTGTTTTCAGTCCAATGGTACGAGAACTGTTGAAACATAGAGCAGCTTGAAGCCGAGTCTGAATTGCATTCTCCGTTTATACAGCAGCTGGTGTGGAACAAGAGATTTTGTTTCGCCTTTCCTGTTGTTGGAAGCCAATACTTCGGAATTTGAAAGGGAATTCAACAATAAAGAACAAGTTGGAGCACATTTCAAGCTTAGAAGATGCTGGAAGGACCCTTTGGTCAAGTCGCTCGAGAAAAGCTAGCTCCGAAAGAAGCCAAGCAACAGCAACAGAAAAGGAGGGCCAGAGGAGAAAAAGCCCGCATTCAAGCCTCGATCTAAGAAGGCTCCAGCTCAGCCATCTACTTCGAGCGATACTCCGAATGTCATCATCAGTCGATGTGCTATGCGACCCTCAATCTCAGATGTCTATGTCATGTCGAAGAACTAATGACGGGCATTCTGAGCGTGGTAAGGTGACAGCTGTACACTGCATTCTATATGTACAAGCCCGCTTGCAGTCGCTAGTGTTCGTTTCTGGGCTCTGGAGGTCATCGTCGAGGTTCTTCAACGTATACAGCATACTGGTGGCATTTGCTTCCCAGTTTTGAGTGTCTTCGGTGTGAAGCAGTGAAGACACTGGGTGTGTGGAAGGAGCAGCCAAGTATCTCCGCCGTCGAAGCGCCGCCACTGAAAAAAGCGGACCGGACGCGTTTTTCGACGCGTTCGCAGACGACCGTCCTGCCGTGTTCTCCGGCAGGAAATGGTTTGGGCGAAGCTCCTTAAAGCCACATTAAGGCGAAACTCGTGCCCGCGTGCTGCTCAGATGTTTTGCCCTGAAAGCTTGTAAGACAAGCTTGCGATGTTGCGAGACCTCCATATATGTCATGCAAAAGTTAGGTGGATGCTTGCACTGGGTGTGTCTTTGATAGAAAACTTGGCTGGAATGGTGCCACGCCACATTGGACTGCTCTCTTTGGACAGTAAGTGGCCCTGGAAAGTGAGGATCCATAATGGCAATTTTGGGGAGTGGTCTGAATTTGACGTCTGGGTAGGGTAGATGGCGCTCTCGGCAAATTTGAGTTGCGCCATTCACTCGTCAATTTGGCCAAGGGTAAGAAAAAAGAAAGCAAAGGACAGCTGCAGCGGAGAAGCCAGGCAAAAATTTGAGCAATGCAGATGCCACACAGAGGAAGTTTCAGCCAAGTAGATGGCGCATCATGGAGCAACCGAACACAAGTTTTTGCCAAGTAGATGGCACATTATTTTTTGGCACTGACAAGTCCGGCCGCCACAATAGCAATTATTTTGCGTTGCCTGGGATTCATTTTCGGGTGGGTAGATGGTGCTCGCTTCCAAATTGGGGTTGCGTTTTTTTTATAGTATATAATATATATGTTTAAACTCTAGAATATATATATATATAAGATCATATATATATATATTTATTTATTTAAGCATATCATAAGACATACATGCATGCATGCATACATGCATACATACATGCATACATGCATACATACATACATACATCCATGCATGCATACATTCATACATACATACATACATACACACACATACAAATATAAATCATAATCAAACTATACTTTTATTGTTTCAAATATAGATTCTGACTCCGAAGTCAGGGTCCCGGACGGCCCCCCCGGGCTATGCATGAATAAGAAACTTCACGTCGTGTAACCAGCCGCCATGGCCTGTCACGGCTCGCCCTTTGAGACCCCCACACCAACATCCAGAAAGTGGCTCCTCTCCGCAGCCAGACCAAGACCGACACGGGGCATGACCGCATGACCTAGAGTCACATTATTGAGGGTATCCTTGGAGAGGTGAGCTGGTTGCACCATGCCACACCTGTCCCTAAGGGTATATATTTCGATGGCCCCTTGGGGTCGTCCATGCACGGGACTCCGCAATGCGGTCAGCTCCATCCTCGCAGGTGGGCGCCCTCGCGGCGGGAGCGGCGCAAGTACGCGGGGCTCTTCCTGCGCTCCGACACCGACCAGGATGGCTTCGTCCAGGCAGGCGAGGCCAAAGCGCTGATGGAACGCTCGGGGCTCGAGGACGGGAGGGGGGCAAGGAGGATGGAGACAAGATCCTGAAATATCGCAGAGGATTCGGGTGTGTCCCCGGCTGTGTTATTGATCATTACTGTAGCTAACCAAGAATCAACACTTCTTTTGTTTACATGCCAAGTTGGAAGTAGAAACAAAGCAAGGTTGGAGCATGAACTAAGAAGGAGCGAAACAATACAGCTCAAATTTCTTTCGTTTGCAGGGTGAAAACACAAGTCCGTGCTTTGCTCAGGACCGATAATTTTGCCCCAAAGGAAAGGTATAAGCAGGTCGAAATACGTGTTCTCAAACACGGGTCAGCACCAAGCATGTGAGTTGCCAGTTCTCGTCGTTTACTGTATAAGTAATTTGCACAGGCACGGCCAGCCACCATACACTTGAAGTTTCTTGAAGTACCATCACTGCGCAGTGTTGAAGTAGTTTGCTCAACCACTGCCCACCAACAAAGATGTGTATATATAAACCACCAGCTGTGGGGCCGGGTTGCGAGTGAGCACAGCGGCGCAAGCAAGCACGGTCTGAACCCAAGAGAAACATCAAGAACAAGGACCTAGAACGACCCAATTCCGGGCAAACGAAGGAAACGACTCCCAGCTCAGTCTGCCGACTCAGCCAGAATAGCAAATGAAGGAGTCCGTCCGGTGGCTGCGCCGCCTGGAACATGAAAGAGAATGACATAAGCACATGATGTGAGCATCTGTGAGGTGCCTTTTTGGTTTGGAGCCAGGAACCCTAGGTTTGCCATATGAATGATGTGGAGGTGGCCCATAATTACAGACATCCTCACGCGGCCTGTGGCCGCTAGGTGGCCCAGAAGTTGACGATGCACAAAACTTTGGAGGTATAGAAAACTTTGGAGGTGCTATGTGGGGGCGATCCAGTGCAGCATTGCTGGCTGGGTCACTGTAAGGTGCTGAACTCCCCTATGACACCTGCGTCCAGGTTGACATGCACAGTACAGGTCGAGGGGGGCTGTGCATGCAGTGCCTTTGGTTCCTGGTAGGAATCTGCCTGTTTTGTACCTGTTTTGGTACTTGGTATTTGCTCTTCTGGCGTGCGTATGGAGTGATGGCGTCTGTTCGCGGTTTGTTGTGATCTCGGTGAGGTGATGGAGCTTGCGGTTCACATGATGTTTCGGCTTGCGACGCGTATACACTAATTCAAACCTTCCTTCAACCTTCTTCAGCTTGCTACATTTCATTCATCAAGCCCCAGACCAATGATTTGCCACAGAAAGACGACCCCAACGACCGGTCGGCCGCCGGTGCTGGGACTTCTTTCTGCGGAGGAAGGGATGTTGCGACAGATCTGGGACTTGGCGGATGCCAGGCTGGTCGGGAGACGAAGGGCGGAAAAACCGGACAAACAGGATGAAGAACATAGAAGCCTTTTGATGGAATGGTGGGGGTGATGTTGTTTCACATATGGGGTGTTGTTGCTACCTGTTTTGGTCGCAAGAAGGACAGGACACGAGCCCAAACTGTTGCGAGACCTCAAGGTTCCATGGCGTTTCAGGAAGGAATTCTAAAGGTTTTTCTTTTGAATGACCCTGGTTGAGTTCGTACGGTTGATTTCATAGGGTGACCCTGGTTTGCAGCAACCGGTGTGTTGGCCGAGGAATTCCATTCCACTCCTTTCCCATGTCCTTTCACATGTCCGTTCGACGGACTTGTGGGCTTGGAACATCGGCAAGTGTCTTCAGTGAGGGGGGGATGCTATTGGTTCAATGAAGAAGCCCTAGAGCCAGGTGGATATACATGGTGCAAAGCTTTTTTGTTTTTTGCTTTGGAAGCAAGCAGAGGGTTGATCAAGATTCCGGGCTCCATTGGGGGCTTTCCTCACACCCTGGGCGACCAGAATTGGTATTTCCCAGTCTTGCCAAGGGCAGGTCTTGTGAGCTCGAGAACTGCCCGCTCCAACTTGCGCCGCAGGACACAAGATGGGCAGCTGGATTTCGTGGAGTTCGTGTGCATGGTGCACCTGGTGTCTTGCGTCCTGCGGGGCTGCGGGCCCTTGGGCCCTCAACTGGCACCCCAACTGCAGCAGGCCTTAGCGACCTTGGAGCCACTGGAGCAACTGGCCCAGGAACGCGAGGAGAGCCGCAGCCGGAGCCGCAGCGCGTCGCCGGCGCCGCCCGTGGCAGAGCTGGTCAAGACCGAAAGGTGGGGGAATGCTTCGGGCGGAATGGCATGGTGGGGGAGAATCCTCTCTGCTGACTCTCTTGCGGACAGGACGGCTTGCATAACGGGCATAACGGTCTGGAAAGGTTGCTTTGATATAGTCATGTTCCTGCCAATCTGATTTTTATTTGTGAACGTCCACAGCCCGTTCTACACCCATGCGCTGAACACCTTCCCAGTATAGGGTCCCGCAAGCTCGCTGTGTTTGAAGGTTGACGGAGATGCCCGACTTTGAGACAGCATTCCAGACCGATGGGGCCGAGCATTTTGGAGGAGACTTTCCCAAGGACTTTGCCAAAGACTTCGCAGGTGCGCGGACTGAGCTTGTGAGCTCGAGACTCGGCGTGTGGCCACAAGCAATTACGGCAGCCAACCCCGAAATTCCTTCAAAGCATGGTATCTGGCACCATCGGGTAAATTCGCTTCAGAAAAATGAGTGGGTGAACTGGTATGCACCGGCATAGGCTTGGAGCCACAGTCACATGTATCGCTGAGGTTTCATAGGGTGCGAATGTTTGCAACGGCATCATGGAGCTTACACGATTCTCAAGGTGGAACAGTCAAAGATCTTGAAGATCCAGGATGCATATGGCAAAAACACTCGTTTCGAAGATCTGGGAAGCACCTCACCGAAGATCTGCGAAGCTCTTCCAACCACAGATCCCACGATCATATGATTGAACAAGGATGTACACCTGGGAAGATCAACATGGAACCTGGAAATGGACCGGAAGACGATTTTCCTCAACAACCCGACGTGGTTTTGCAGGTTCCATGTGGACCTCTTCCAGAGTGGGTCTCTCGATTCACCGGATTCTCGGTGCATCTGATGCCTCGTGCGGGCTCGTTCCGGGCTCGACAGGTGACTTCGGGGAGTTCCCCAACGACGCGTTCGGGGGAGATGGAGGGGATTGGCCAGGTGAGAAGGGCAAAAAGAAGAAGAAAAAGGACCGCCTGTTGGGCTAAGCTAACGAACATCAAGAAAATCTCTTGAGCCTTGAGCTGCTCTCCTTCAAAACAGCTTGTTTTATATAGAAGTGTGGAACATCGAAGGAAGTTGGTTGGATACTTGTTGATTGCCAAGGAGAAGGACATGGTTCAGTGATGTTCAGTGAACAAAATAGGAAGTTCGTTTCCGCTCGGCGGCTTTGGGGGAATCTTTGAGATATGGGCTTTGCCATGCTGAGATGAGTGATGAGACCAAACAAACATGGATCTGAACCACCGACGACTCCCCAAGCAAAGTCGTTTGCGGTGCAGAAACACTGCTGCCATCATGCAGTGCCATGCATCTCCGTGTTGGGTGGTAGGCAGCCTGGCGGAGCTCGGGGATCGAGCCTTTTGCGTTCCAAAGTCTGAAGGACAAGAAGGAGAAGGAAAAAGACAAGGACCAGCACAAGGAGCGCACATACCCTGCTTGGGAGCCATCAGGAATACAATATATTATATAATGCACTGTGTATAATATATATATATATACTGTAATGATACATAAATAGTCAGAAGGAAGCCTTTTGGTTTGCATTTCTAATGTTCACGGCACTACAAAGGAACAAAGACTGGTCACTGTACAGTCCGGTTTTCGTGCCCTGGACCTTTCTCGTTCGACTTGTGGCAACGACCGAGGACTTCGGTGATGGTGGTTTCGGCGACTTGGGCGACTTTGGCGCTTTCGGAGACCCCTTTGGGACGATGGGTGGTGCACCCGAGACCGATCTGGGAGAGGACCCTTTCCGCACCAGCGGCTTCGAGCCGTTCCACCCCAGCTTTCCGGCGGCTTGGCATGTGGGAGGGCGCCCGCTGGGGGACCAAGGTGACCGGTCCAATCGTTTGGGCAAGGAGCCCACTGCCGTGGGCAGAGCATGTTTGATAGAGAGAAGTCTGGGTCATGGGGGTGGGACGGAAAGGTAGGTCTTTTGGACTCCTGCTATTGGAGATGATCCCACTGTAATGACTTCCTATTTTGCCGTGATGACAGGGGGTTTTCCCAGCTGAAATGACTTCACCCAGGCGCGCTCGCCCAATTTTCCGGGAAGTGAAGAGGGTCTGGCTCTGCACCTTTGCCATTTTCACGGTCAAAAGATGAGTAGTGGCAGCTTTGGTGCCACCTTCGCCCTTAGGAGAATGAGAGGACCAGACCGTTGCAGTCGGTGCTGGAGAAGGATCGCCATTTGGCACAGCAGCTGCGAAAAGAAGTGGATCAGTTGGACAAAGATCTAAGGCTGGACTTGCATGGCCAGGTCTCCTGTTTCCCACTGTCTAAGAACGTAGGCTGAATTCATCTGAATTCACTTCCCATTTCATCAAATTCGAAGGCTAAGGAGGCTCAAAGGTGAGGAATTCTGGCAGTCTCTCAGGCGCTTGCAAGCTTTGGACGTGGAGTTGGAACAACTGCATTCACAGGACAGGATGGCGGGGGACAGCGGACAAGTAACACGAGCCTCGCTCGATGCATTCGACATATGTCGACATCATTCGACCTATTTTACGGAGGAGATACAAAGCACCCACGAGCCTCTACAGCAATCACTGCAATCACACTCCAGCTGCATAGTAGATTGCAGATAGACCAGTTTAGAGCATGTGGACTGTTGATGAATATTGATGAATATAAACCGCCTAAGCCTGGAGATGTAGCAAGCATTTTGCTGGGGTTTTAACTTGATCAGCAGTCAACATTCAGAATCCCCAGACACCCACCAATTAAGGGTGTGTATTTTAGACCGTAAAAGACCTCCAGACCTAGCTTTCGTTCCCTTTTACTGGGGATGTGTCGACATGTCGATGTTTGGACCAGAACGGTGATGGCCCCGGTCCCGTTGGTGTCGGGTCCGTTGGTCTCCCGGCCGAGTCAGCGAAAGAGTGGAGGGCACCGAGGGCACCGGCCGGTGACAGTTTCGACCCCCCCCACAAGGTTTCTTAAGCACAAAATGAAGAGGAAGAGATGTAGCTGTCGGTTCCACAAAAGGGGGTCTTCAAGCATGGTTGGCTTCCCAAACATCCATTCAATTGCATTAATGGACTGTCGCGGAAGCGCAAAATCCTCACGGGCTTGACCGGGACAAATCCCGCGGACGGGCACCGTGACCGGGACCAAATTGGTTTTAACATGTTCTTTTACCAGCAGTCACAAAGGGATGGTTTTTAGTCCATAAATGGGCACCCCTATCCTCCAATAGGCACCCCTTGTGACTGCTGGTACATCTTGCTTCTTGCCACTAGTAGCTTGCGACTAGTAGCTACAAGTGGCTCCCGTTGGGGTTTCGTCCAGTGTTGTGGCAAAACACGATGTAGCGTCCACTTTCTGGCAATGTTCAGCAGGGCTTCGAATTCTCCATGTTCCAAGCAGCATTATCCGATGAGACTGAGACTCTTGGTGTTTCTCCCACAGAGCTGTTGTTCCGGATGACTTCTCCGGAATGACGGACCTGTTAAAAAGCGGCGCATCACAGCCAGGACTCCAAGGAGATTGAGAAGCTTCGGCATCACAGCCAGGCCTTGCAAAGAGACTTGGAGGAGCAGATGCACAAAAAAACGCTCCAATGAACACGTTCAAATTATAGTGGAAATAGAATGATGGTTTATGCTTGTTTATGCACTGATGTTTATCTTCCCATTCTAAATCCTCGGCTAGGACATCGGACCTCACATGACATAAATAACATATAATAATAATAATATCAGTTTTCTTTCTTTTCCAGTTGTGCGTTGAAGCAAATCCACGAGGACCCGCTGCGTTTGCTGTTGCCCCCAAACATCACGATTCATTCAGACCATTCCAGGAGGGCCAACGTCGTCTGTCGGAGCTGCGGGAGGCGCGGTCTGTGGCGAACCAGGAGAGCCTCACCTTGCGCCGGGACCAGGACCATCTCCTCCAGGCCCGGTGGGACCAGGGGACCTCAGAATTGAGAAGCAACAAGTCGAAGGACTGAGTCGGACTGAGGGAGGTTTTTGTGCTGGCCCCACTTCCATCCCTCCAAAACCGGGCGGATCTGCAGATCTCTTCAGCCGCTGATGATGTGAGACCAAAAAGGATGGAGGCCTTGACCGGTCCACAAGATGAGGCCCACTATGAGGCCCTGAAACTCGCCCAAAGCGCTTTAGTTGTCTCCAACTCAAAGGTCTTTCATGGTGGAGATAAATGGTCGGAGCAACTAGGACCCTTGAAATTCTTCCAGGTGTTTTTGGTGATTCAAGGATATTCAAGGTACAAGGATCATCAAGGATCCTAGAGCCCACCATCCTTGCGCAAGGCAAGGGGTGCCCAATGGGCGTGACTACTGGACTAGTGGATGGTCCGTCCGAGTCCTTGTACGACCGGTGGTTTGGAGCGTTCTTTTTTGGAGTTCACGGTGGTGTAAGGAGCTGAAGTTTCTGCGACATATGGCTGAAGAGGAAGAAGAACTGATCATTCTGCTGCAGAACTCGAACCAATATCTGGAGACGTCCTGTGGCAATCTGGAGACCAACTCGCAGGTCTTGAACCAGATCCATACCGACTCTGAGCGATGAACGTGGAACTGAAGATGGTCTGAGAGTTGTGGTCATCCAAGGATGATTTGACTCGGCGACCTGAATGGGTCCTTTACTTTGGTCGGTGGGTGTGTAGCTCAAGACATGGATGACCCCCCCCAGGCGTGGCAACGACCATCTGGACGGTTTGGGAAATGGACCAGTCAGACGTCAGGAGCAGTCTACCCAGGCGTTCGGGCCACCAAATCTACCCATTCAAAAAAGACTCACTGTTTGAATCTTTTCAATGCCAACGATCGGACATCAACACGCCCAGAAGACCTTTCTTCACCTTTGATCGTTATATCCATATGGACCCCTTCGATTTTGGTTGGCGGCTTGGATGGTGCACTCTCACCGTCACGGAGCCTGGACCAATCGCTCGCTTCTCCGAGGATTTGCAGCGGCAGATCTCTACGGAACAGGAGCAGCTGGATCGGGAGAAGAAGGAGCTGCGTGACTTCCAAGGTCAACTGGACAACCTCAAGAGCTCTGGTCTAAGCTCGGGCACACCGGTGGCAGAGCCACCGGCCGCCCCAAAGAAGAAGCCGACCATGATTTTGGAGCGGGAGGGGGTCTGAAATGGTCTGAAGTTCTGAGAGACTCTAAGCCAATGCAGAGCCAAAAAGGAAGCATCTCACTTGTCTTTGTCATGCGCAGATATTGGGAGACCAGAGACGAATGCTGGAAAACGATTCGTTCGGAATGGGACATAGAAGTTCAGGGTGAAGTGGGGGACAGGGGAGAACAAATCTGGACGTCTAGACTGGTTCATCAACAAAAGCTTCCATTATGGATCCAATATGGAGAGAATAGAGAATTCATGTAATGTAATATGTAACAATATGTAATATGTAATGTAATATGTAACAATATCAACAGTCTACACTCCTCATCGATGTTCCTTGAACATGAAAAGGGGTCCGAGACCTCGAACTAGTTAGCATTTTGACATGACTGATCTCAAGACAGGAAGTTGAAGACACAAGATGGATCAGACCAGAGGACTGAAGCTCTTGGTTTAGGGCTTGGTTCCGACAGGACACTGCAACGTTCATGTCCATTCTGTCCATGCCATGCTAGATGAAACCAACACAATTGGTGAACAGCACATTCACCATCATTCTTTTCCTGACCTCAGAATCCGTGAAAACCTAATACCGCTTAACAAAAGAACCACCGTCGACCCTCCGCGATCGCGGCCATCGTTTCTCTCCATCGCCATGGGGAGCGATGACCCTTGGCTGACGACAGGCATCGACCCTTGGAGCGCCGGCCGAGTCTCCAAGAACGGCGTCGCGGCGGCGACGACGACCACGAGCACGGGTCCGGCACCCCGTGCGAGCACCCCACCACCCAGCGACTCAGAGGAGAGTCCCAGCGCAGCGAAAGCGGGTCCTCCCAGTTCTTGGATCAATGGAAGCGCCAATGGGATCGGCCACGCGCCCAAGCCCAAGCACCCCCCGGCCTCCTTGAAGCCGCAAGCCTTCCAAGCACCGCCCCCAAGTGGGCCGGCCGTGCCAAGCGGGCCGGCAGGGCCCGCTCCACATGGCCCACCTGTGGCGAAAGTGGCACCCGCAGTTACAAGCACAAATGCACGGAGTGAGGGCGAAGGCAAAGCAAGCACGTGCTTGTTGCAGGTGCCACACAGCGGGTTTGCCGACGCAAAAGACCCGGACTTGAAGAAGGTGGGCGCCCTTGGTCGTTTTGCACTATAGGCAAATATGTTCTGATATTATTTCATTTCATGCCCCAGTTGAACATGTTTGCCTCCTGGCATTATGTCAGGTTGATTCATAATCCTTTTTGTTCCACTGCAATCAATGTTTCGGCAAAGCCTCCATGGAGTGCAGGGTCACCCAGCCTCCCCAAGATTCTGGTCGGTGGACGACCGAAGAGACGCGGCTCCCGGTGATTGGGATCCCGCAGCATCCCACAGCCATGTTCTTTTCCAAACCGCTTGATGTTCCATGGTGTTCCAATGCTTGAAAACCGCATCATGTTCACCGCCTCTTTTTCTGGCGTTTGGAGGCGTGTTTGGGGTGAACCCCTCTTCCCGCCCAGGTGAGCCAAGGTACGCCCAAGTCGCGGACCTTCCACATCCAAATCTACAAAGACTCTCCGGACGAGCGCTTAGGCCTTAGGACCGAAGTGGTGGATGGAGTGGGCTGTGGCTCCGCTGGGCGGGTGCACCGCATCTTCCACGGAGGGTTGATTGAGGAGTGGAATCGGATGGCCGTGGCTTGCGGCATGCCGGACTGGGAGGTGGAAGTGAATGATGTCATCATTGGTGTAAATGGACGAATGGTGCCTCGCAAGATGTTTGGACAACTTTTTGGTTGAACTGGTGCGTCCCACAAGAAGGGCAGCAGAATGCAGTAGTTTGGCTGTGGCCTTCCGTCTTCTTGTTCCCCCAATAGCCAATCCGTTGCGTTCCTAGATCGGTTTGGAAGGGATGTTTGAACGCCTTCCCCGCGGAACAGAGCTTGAAAGTCGCCGATCTTCGAACATGCATTTGGTGACCACTCGAGGAGTATCATCCGGATGACTTTGAAGTTCGCACTGCCACAGATTTGGACCTGCTGATCATGAGGGGTCCGCCGGTGAAGAACACCTGAGGGCCGGACCTGCGGACCCGCGATTTTGAGGGCTGGACCTGCTGGTTGGCAAGCGCCAGACCATCCCTGGGTCCATGACCCATATTGCGGACCCGACGAGGCCCATCTGGTTCGCCCCCAAAACGGTGCTGAACGCGCCAGACAGCGCGAAACCTTCGTGCAGCAGCTGTGGGCGCTGTGCAAAAGTGACCAAAAGGCCCGAGTGAGCATTCAAGACTTGAGAAATCTGGCAGATGAGTAGTCACCCAAGTAGAGGGGCTGCACAGTTTCTTGGCTTCTTGTGGCAAAAGATGAATCCTGTCTTTGTTTTTATTTGTTTTTCATGTACCACCTGAGCCCGAACAGCTATGCAACCTCGTTGTGTAGATGCTCGAGTTCCTTTTTCCTGGAAAGCGTGGATGGCATGTCCCCCCAAAAAGCGTCCACGTGTTGTTTTTGCACTAAGGGGAAGTGGTTCACTTCCATCATATATTCCAGGGAGGGAGAATAGGGAGAGTACTCCTACTCAGTGGAGAAGCTTTAATATTTTTGGGGATTGGTTTCCCCACTCAACAAGGACAGGTGGAAAAAGGATGAAAAAGGCTATAGCGTTTATGTTCCAGCGAAGCTGAGGGAGTTAGGGCTTATGGTGCCGGCCTTGTCTAGTTTCCGACCCAAGCTAGACGTCTCTTTAAACACCCCAGTGGAAGGTCTATTTCGGGCTCCACTTCCGATGGAACCTGCAGCACTGCATCGCGGCGTGTTTTGCGGAAGCTGGAGGCACACACTTTTTGTTGGGGTTGATTTTAACGGTTCGCTGTATTTCGTGGTCTGACCACAAGACTCTCACCCTGGTTTGGCCAGCTTTGGGCTTCATGACTTTGCTCAGTTTGGAGGGATTTGGAAGGCTTTCAGCTATGCTTTTCGCTCCCACTCCTGCGGCGCCTTTTGTTGCGGCCAACCGCATCGTTCGAATGCGATCGTGAGAGGTGGCCACACCGCAGCCAGGGCTCAAAGTCATACGGACATGGAGAGATGCAAGTCGAGTACAGAGAGCAGCGTACGAACGGAATCGAGTCCAGCTTCTTCGGAGACGGTGCGAGGAGAAACACCCCTTTATGACCAGAGCAGTGAACTGTTCGTCTTGAAAAGATGGACGATGCTTCACCCCATGGAAACTGATAGGGACCGGGCAAATCGGAGACATCAAATGCTGAAGAGATCCAACGTTTAAAAGCACTTTTTCCGGTGTTAATCCCCGAAACAACGCCGTGGAACCCACGCACAGTGATAGTGCATGAAACGCCTTCACACCGTCGACATGAAGTGACTGACGCGGTCGTTGACGAGCGTGAAGAGCTGGCGAACGCAACCATGGGTTGGGCACTCGGTTTGCTCACCTGTGAGTCAGGTACCGGATTTGGGAAGATCCAAACCAGTGGGTTTGGGGGTCCATGTTTAGACATCGCTCCGTTCCCACCAAGTCTAGACATCGCGTATTGGCCAACGCGATCTTCAAACAGGGAGACTGGGTATGTGTAAGACATTCCAAGACCATGTAAGACCGCCACCCTGCCTCCATGAGTGAAGCCACATCGTCCGACGTGCCCATCGTCCGCAGTTGAGAGATCTACTATTGTCATCTATTGTCTCCAACGAAGAAGGGTAGAGACCGCAGAGACCACATCAGTTATTGTATATACATATTATATTGGTATGATATATTGTATGTTATATATAGACTCTTGATTAATCACCCCTCCATTTTTCTTTAAGCCCATGTCTGAGGGTTTGAATCAAGAGTCTACAGCTGGTACATCCCATCTCCACCCTTTCACTGCATGGACATGCAGTGGAGCGTGGAGCAGAACCCGACTGCCTCTCTGTGGGTCGAACACCCGAGGTTTCGCGCACAACCCGGTGGCCGTGCATGCGGTCGGCTGGGCTGAGGATCAAGGTGCGGAGGGGTTGAGTTGTTTTAACTTTTCCGGGTTTGCAGGGAGACAAGTTCTATATCGATTCCACGCCCATCATACCCGAGGTGTCTGCCATGTCACCACCACTTTGAAGTCTCCATTTCAGCCATCGAATCGGAGACCCGTTGGAAGGTGGAGGTCTTTGTATATCCAGGCAATATCCAGGAGATTCTTGGAGGGCACCAGATGGATAAGTTCTTGATTTCCAAAGGGCTCACAAAAGGACCGATGAGGCTAGAGGAGCAATGACCGCAAAACTCCCGCAATCGGTGGGTCCGTTGGTGGCGAATGGTGATACGGCGGATCATGGCGGTGGTGACCGACACAGCCGGTGCATGAACCTCAGGCGTGGCGCGTGCGATGAGCCTTATTGAGGCATTTTCGACTCACGGTCGAATCGGCCGCTGAAGTGGCTGCCATGAAGCACTTCACATACCTGTTAGTTACCATTTGCAATTCAACGTATCTATGTCTCCTCCCTCAGAACTCGTGGATTTTTGCCCAAACATTCACCAACCGCTTTTCCAAGACCCAACAAGCCAATTCTTTTTGGGCTGCCAAACCGGGCACACCTGGGATGTCCGACCTCAGGCCGCAGGGCAGAAATGGAGGATGGCTTCGTCTTCGTGGACCAGGCGTCCGGCGTCCTTCGGTTCGCCCTCGCAGTTCGTTCGCCCTTTGGTCCGAGCATTACGCGAGTTTTGGATTGAAAAAGCTCCACTCAAGCTTTGCGGGGTGACTGCTCCACTCAAAGAGTCTACATGAAGTGGGGAGATGGGAGATGAGACAGTCAACTGCCCTGGCATTTCAGGTAGCCATCCTAGGGTATGCCGAAGCACTGCGGAGACCTTCCGAATTCTGAACCAATCCAACCAGCGATTCTTGCGTCTTGCTGCGCTGCTTGGTGACAGTTGGTGACGAACGTCCGACACTCCGCAAGCATCAGCATTGCATGATTGCCAATCACCCAGAGACGACCTGTCTGGGACTGCCAGTTCGGACTGCCGAGAAACGGCCAGGGGTGGGTGGTTTTGGGTGGGGGGGTCAATGGGGTTGCAGTCCTATGGCAGTCCCATTAGTCGTGTATGAGTCATGCGCACCATCAACAATCATTTGTCTCATGATAGATCAGGTCACTGACTGACACCGATTGTTTCGTCACTAGGAAGAATGGCTGCGGCTTTGTTCCTCTCGGTCCATTTTCTACAGGGCCCATACCTCTATTTATGACTTTCACCACTATAGACGCTCGACTGTTCTTTGGAACACTTACACTCCGACGAACACGTCGCATGGAAGTGGATGTCACCCCTGTTGGTAAAGGAAAGTCGTGTTCAAAGGGACCATTCCATCCACTTCCTTCTGATGTGTTGGTCAGAGTGTATCCAAGTCACTTCTTACCACATGACTTGGTCGTTACTCTCAGGGCTTTCTTTGGATGCCAAGCTCGGCTTTTCTTGGGCAGTTCGGCGGCCAGCAGCGCAGCGCCTTCTTCGCGGTCTACGACGGCCACGGGGGGCGCCCGGTGGCCGGGTGCCCAGCCGGAGGAGGAGGTTGGTGATGGGGATGGGGAAGGAGAATTGCACCGAATCCAGGCAGGGGAATGCTGAACGCATTTGTGGTGGGTCCCGGCAATCAAAACGCTTCGAGGATTGGAGATGTGCTTAAGGACCTTAAGGTGTGTCAAGGTGGTAGCTGATGGAAGGGATGGAAGGCGGTAGCGAATTTTCTCCACTCACTTAGGGACCTAAGGATACTTAGGGATCTATTCTGGAACTCCTGGCATGTATCAATCTATCCCAGCAGGTCTTACGCCACTGCTGGGTCCGGTTCTACAAAAAACAGTACTCAATGAGGTCTTGCGGACCAGGTACGGTATAAAACCTGAACCGGCAGGGTCTTGTTGTGAATTTGGATGGATCTGATCAGCTTCTCTCCACTGGAGAGTGAGAGGGGTGGCCATTTTTTGGCGCGCCACACGGCGACGGACATCGGGGGAAATCTGGGTCAACGTAAAAAAAAAGTAACCAGCAGTCACAAAGGGGTGCCTATTGGAGGATAGGGTGCCCATTATCCACTCACTTAGGGACCACTCCATCCCTTTGTGACTGCTGGCAGGTATTTTTGATGAGGAACATTTGGTGCCACTGTACTGTTTTGAAAGGCGAAGTGGTCGACTGGTCGAGGCTGCTAGTGACTATAGTACATACTAGTGCTATGCTGGTAGGCTCAAGACATATGTAGCGTATGTAGCACATCAGCGTGACTATATACCATTGGATGTCCAATGAGATTATTATTCCAGGCTACAGTACATTCTTCCAAATTTTCTTGCATGTTCTTCTCCTGACGTGCTGCCAGACGTGCTGCCAGACCCGTTTCCAGATCGCAGATTGCATCCGTTTTCTCTCGCGCCGTCTCGGCCGCTGTGCTGTCGAGGTTGACTTCGTGACTCGTGAGCTACATGAAAACTTGTACAAGGCCAGGGTGGAGAGATCCATTTTGACATATTCTTCTGCATCCGCAGCCTTCTTCAAGCTCTGGAAAAGCTGCTTTTCTTCCCAGCTCCATAGCATTCGATAGCCTTCTGAAGACCTAATCCATCCTGACATCCACCTCACATCGGTTTGTGAAATGTGACTGGTTTGTATTTTTTGTTTTCAATTTTGGGTAAGCCAACCCACACCCACATTCTGTCCTATTGAGCCAACTCGGCTTGCGAGACTGGACATGATGGGGTCTCCTCCTTCACTTGATGTCCCGTCCAAGCATGAGAAGTGAGAAGGAGAGGAACCTCTTTGCGGCATCAGAAGTATGTTTCTTATCTCTTCTTTTTGGACCAACATTCGGTGATGCAACTCCTCAGCGCTCTGGAATGGACCAAAGTTTATAGCTCGAAAAGCTACGGTATGCCTTGGTGCTTTGCTCGCCTCGTGTGTCATGGAACCAAGATCAAACAACTCTGCCGAGTTGAACATCATTATTTGCCCTTTACATGTTTGAACATTCAACTGCAAATGGCAGTTCATCTTCAACGTCGGCACTGCGATGCTGATTGATTTCATTCTGGTATCCAGGAATTTTTCCAGAACGTCTATAATGCATCACATCAAGAAGATAATCACATCAAGCCGTCGATAGATGGCCTTTAGCATCCATAATAGGACTCATCGATGGAAACATGACAGAGATCATGAGGACTTCTCAACGATAGACAGAATGAGACAGAATCCAGGATGA